ACTTATTATTTATTGTACAAAGTAAATTAACGTAATATTAACTTAAGGCAAGTATATTTACACATCATAATCATAACATTAGTATAAATAAACTAGTAACTAAATAACTGTTAATTAATAATTAAACATTGTAACCACTTAAAATTTTATCATTAATAGAAACAACTAAATGTTTTTCAATATTTTCGGTCTTAAAACTATGTCTTCGATCACTTAAAATTAATTTGTACATTGAAAACGAACGTTCGACATCGACAGATGTAATTGGAGCATATTTCAGAGCGGATAATAAATCTGGCATAATTTGAAATTCCTCGGAAAATGTCCCATTCAAAACTTTAGCAACATTAGATAAAAACGAAAAACCTTCATTCTTGTCGAAAACATATTTCATTTTTTTAAAAATTAATTGACCGTTACTTCCAGGTGCCGATTTAATTTTCGTCTTTAAATTATCTATTAATTTTACTGACTCACATAAATTTATCTCTTGTTTTTCTAATAAGGTAATTGTGGTAACTATTAATTTATAATTGTCATTGATATAACCGAGTTCCTGTTTCAATTTGGGATTTTTTAATATTTTTTTTGCTTCTCGAATGGCTTCGGAAATATCATCATCAAATTCTGACATAACTAATTCTATTTCATTGCAGTGTTCAAAGTAAAAAAAGACTGCTTCGAGCCAGGTTCCCCACCTTGTAATTACTGGTTTAGGTGGCAAAGGGACACCGGGAAGTCTTTCTTTATATATTTGCACCCTCAACGGAGCCTTTACAAAAACTTTTTTCATAAAATTTATAAAATTATTTACCAACGGAAACAGATTTCTTATTTCTTCAGCAATTCTATTTACCCCGTGGGCTACACAAGTGCAATGAATTAAATTAGGATAAAAAATTTTTAAATTAACAGCAGCTTTTAACATATATGCCGCAGCATCTGAAAGCATTAAAACTATTTTATTCACTGGTATAGCGTTGGGTAAAAAGAGGTTTGTTAAACTATCTTGTATAAATCGACTTATTGTTAAATTGTTTGTTTTTTCCAATTCTTTAACGGCAACTAAATAAGGTTTTCTCGCAAAGTTTTCGTTCAAAATTCCAATCATTAAATTAGCTATATACCTGCCGCATACATCTGTCGTTTCATCCACGATAATATACAAAAAATTGCCCTCCAACTCGTGCTTAATTTTTGAAATACATTCCACATAACATTTTTCCACAGTATGTTTTCTCAATGTACTCTCGTCCGGTAAGGATTTATTAAGATATTTTTCAAAAAAGCGTTTAAAACTAGGGTTATTAACTTTATATAGAGGAATGTTGGATGCAATCATCATCTGGCATAAATCAAATTTAAATGCGTCTTCCTCCTTTTTTTTTGAACTGCTTAAACTATCCCGCAGAGATGTTTGGGCTAACTTAGAGGAATTTAATTTTTCCAAATTACGTTTATGAAGTGGGGTTCCACAATGCTGGTCAATAAAGTACTTTTTTCTACTTGAAATCTGAGAATTAAAAAAAAATAATTAGAATTCTAAAACCGCTTTAGAATTTAGTTATGTTGTGGGACGAGAAAAAAAGAAAAAATAATAAAACTTACCGATTTGCCGCATGGTTTACAAAATGCTCCATCTCCTTCTAGAGAAAGTTCCGAATAAGGTGCGATCCATAGCCTTAATTTAGATGTCATCTTTTCACACAACTGTCTTGAACGTTTTAAAACGTGTTCTTTGCTTTTCGGTATACGCAACAAAACTAAACTAGGATATAGCAATTTGCTAATTTGTGAGTAAACTCTGATACAGTAACCGACTGTACAACTGATAATAAACTAATAAAGCTTAGGGATTTCCAAATAGTTAACCCTCAAGTCTCGATCAGGTACATTTTCCTAGAAATCTATTATATAAACAAACCATTGATATTTTATTATTGACCCAAAATTTTATTATAGAATGGTTTAGTAATAGAATAATATCATGGGTAGTACCATGAAATTTTAAAAAAGGCACAAATAGGCGGAATTTACGAAAAAAGGCAAAAAGTGCAAAAAACACTTATAATAGGCAAAATAGGCAAAAAAAGGCATTTTGCCTATAATCCGAGCTTTAGCTATGACCTTAAACGTTTCACATAAACTTGTGTACTAAATAGGCATAATGCATAGCTCTTGTCAAAATCCAATACATTAATAATATAATTACATATCTTCGATTCTAAAATATTGTAAAAGACTTTAAAGAGTATGAGTAAGAAAAGAGATATTTAGTTATATTCTTTGTGACATTTTCAAGGTCATAGCTGTTCCCAAAATCCATTACCTATACTTAGGGTATTTGTAAGGAGTATAGCATTGTTGTGAAATGTTTGCAATGTGCAGCGGATTAAGTCTTCAAATAATTTCAAGGTATAAAATACCCTAGACTTTTTGACTAAAATTTTAATGTTTTATTTCTTGGAAAGAAGAGTTTTTTTAAGAGTTTGTCATTTATAAAGGAATTTTAAAACGATGGATATATTATGGCGTCTTAAATATTATCAGGTGAAAATATAGATTTTTTTTTACTTAATTAGATGGCTTTGGTAAAGACCAATTAGCCAGGTGAAAATATAGATGTTTTTGTCGTTGAAAACAATTTGTTTACATACGAGTCTCCAAACATTCCGGTTGAAAAAAAAAAAGAGTTTTTGTTGTCGTTCGTCGTCGTTTAGAACGAGGTCAAGAGAATTGTTTGTTTAGGTTAGTAGGTGCCTGATTGCGAGACGTAAAGACAAAAGTTTTGCGTTGATTTTTAAAACCGAACGCAGGGGCAGTCAAGCAAGAGATTTCAGACTAGAAAAATGTTTGGGCGATTTTGAATCAAGAGTCGATTCATTTTTTTGTGTTATGTCTTAAGACCGATGAAAGGTTGGATAATACTCTTTTGCAATAATGCATTTTAGAACAGAGTATCAACCATAAGATTTGTGCAGTACACCGGAACTGATGAAATTTTGAAAATGATTATATAGTATGTCCCACTAGCTTTGTTGTCGTTTGCCTGCTTGATCCAACCCCATTTACGTCAGATCTTCGTTCCTGAGTACGGAAATGGTTTTCTTTTCTTCCAGTTAAGAGTTTTGTCCTTGCAGCTCCAATCCCAGAGATAGTAGCAAGTTTTTCAAAGTTAAGTGGCAAAGTTTGCGAGTTAAGGTAACATTTAATATATTAATTTTTCCAAGTTATATAGTCATTTTTAATAATTGCTTTTATTAAAAATTAAAAGAATTTGTAGTATTTAAAATTTTATATTATGTTAGAAGCGTGGCCAAAAAATTGTCATAATTTATTCTGTCTTAAAATGTTATGTGAACACATGACATTTTGGCTTAAATCTGCTGTTGTTATAAACCAATTTTAATTTGATTATTACATAGAAAAGATATTATATATATATATATATATATATATATATATATATATATATATATAATATATATATAATATATATATATATATATATATATATATATATATATATATATATATAATATCTTATAATATATATATTATATATATATATATATATATATATATATATATATATATATATATAAGGTTAAATTTTAACATATTTTCATAAACAAGGATATCCTTAATTTTTCATAATTTAATTTGGCCATATTAATAAATAACCTAGGAACCATTTCGAAAATTTTTGTAGCAATCTCCTTTGTAAACAGATAAGCACGTAACTTTTTGTTAGTTTTGTTATTGTGTTATATAATATGCTTTTATGCAATCTGTATTTTTGATAACTGTTTGTTTGAGACAAAAATAAACGTTTGATTTGTTTCTCTGATCCATTTTTTGTTTTAATTTAGAAAAGTCTCCTAACCCTTGTATGTATTCTTGATTTTATTAAAGAAGAAATTTTCTTTTTTCCAGCAGGAAGTTTCCTTTGAAGCGGCGTCCGAATAAAAATAGCTACAGGTAACCTTGTCTGTCATATCTTGTTCGTTTTTGACCCAGGAGATTTATGTAAGTATCCCTTTGTTTTCATTTTGTAGATACCACAATGCGACCCATTTATTTCAACTTATCCACGACCCAGCTCTCCAACAACCCCCTGTATGTCGTACGCATCAGTTTCGATTATTTTGTTTACCTTATCCCTACCCCCAGTAGTTTCTGTCACCAATCTTCTAGCCCTCCGTTCTTACACTCAGGTAAGCAAAAAATTTCGTTACAAACTTATAACATAAAATTTCGATTTTTAGTTTTGGCAATAAATATGAGGCATTGGAAATAAGCCTAAACGCCGAATTTACGCTGTCTTTGAACTTAAATATAACAAACGATCTCTCGTCACAGAAAATGCTACCACGGTATTGGATATAATTTGTAGCTGAAGTTGTGTAATTTTTAACAACGTACCCTTGCAGTCAAAAAGAAGCAGTTGTAAACGTTATAGATTGTTTGTAATGTAAAAATTCACATTTTCTAGGCGTATTTTAAATGAGTAATATTTGTTGTCAAAATTCAATATCAAAATTTTATGTTACTTATAATTTTTGAAGACTATGCTTTAATAATGAAAATTCTATAGCAGTCAGTCAATGGAGGTAGTACATTTTATTGATCTCATAAGAATAATACAAAATGGCAAAAATCGCAACGTTTGTGTATTTAACAGCTGAACTCTTCACCTTTAAAACACATTTTGTTTAAATATGATCAAAAGATATCAAATTTTTACCATCGATTTTTATTAAAACAATTATTTTGCGCGTGTAACTGGCCTTCAAAGTCGCGGATCGCTGTATGCATTGTTTTAGAAAGAACGATTCATTCTGCACAAAAAGATCTAATAAATAATTACAATCCCAGTAAATTCAACTTATTCGATGTTTAGAGGTTCAGTGGCATTTTCGTCTCTTGGATGCGACGGCTGGACTAATGTGATTTTTTCTTATTTAAATGAGAATGAAACAAGTTTGCCAATGTCTTACCGTTTTCCAAACGTCAAAATATATGGGCTCCAAACTAAATCTGTTAATCATTAGGATACTTGCAAAGTGAACTAAGTATACACAATAGAGGCAGTTACTCAGGACGACAAATAATTTTAATTCCATAAGCTTCTTAATTGGACCTAAAATAAAACATCGAGGTATAATTTTAAATAAAACAAAACTATTTTAGAATTTGGGAGAAATGGAGAATAAACTATAGTAAATAAAATTAGTAAGGGCAATGTTATAGCCCTCATTTTTTTTTATGTACTTGCGAAAGTTTTTATTTTTTCCAAAAAGGCTATTTTGGCGACATAAAGATATATTGTAATCATCATCATCATAATAAACCTGAATGCGTTCACTGCTGGACAAAGTTCTGCCTCAGCTTTTTCCGTCTATCTCTGTCCTATGCGGCTTGCAACTAGTTATTGCTAACACGCTTCAGGTCAAGTCCATCTAGGTCTAACTGGTAAGCAGGTTTTGTATGTTTTCAATAAAATTAATAGTGTGTAAAATAATTTATTAATTAAGCTGAGTATACGTTTGAACCTTATGCATTTTCAGTAATTAGTAAACACTGGTAAAACTGATAGTGCGAAAGGTAGTGTACAAAGCGACGGGCTATTGCAGAGCCGATACAACGGGAATTTTGGTGCCTCTTTCTAGTAGACAGAACGCGGCGATTCCTGATAAGAAGGAAACCGACATCTCTGCAATTTTGAGGCATATACCACGCAACAGAACTCTAACACATATTGTCGTTGTAAGAAATATATTTATCTTTGTAAGAAATTTAGAACTGTTAGAGAGTTCTGTTTGCCGTGTCACCTCGCTTGTTGCAGAGGCTCGATAGAGCTTCTTACACGAATTAGCCGGTATCTGTACTAACTCCTATACGAAGATGGATCATCGTAATACGAGATCATCTTCAAGAGCGGCGCCCGCTGAGCGTCCAGGAACTCCGGATAACGGAGAGGATGCTACGTCCGTACGACACCACATACAGCGACGACAACAGCTGTTTTTGACTTACCACTTGTCCACCTAGTTGGTGAGAGTCCTCTGCTCCATATTGCTGTTTGCCTTGCTCTTCACTCTTAAATACCTTTTGTCCATTGGTTATCTGATAATCTGGCGACATGTCCTGCAAAATTCCATTTTAACGACGCGATTTTTTTAATAGCGTCTGTTGTTTTTATTCTACGACGTATTTATTCGTTTGGGATTCGGCCTCTTAAAGAGACACTCAACATCTGGCACCCCATAGCCATCTAAGTCACGCGAATCTTATTAACTACCTGTTTTGTGAGTGTTAATGTTTTCGCTCCATAAGTAAGTAGAGTAACACACATTAGTCAACAATTTTCCTTTTGAGGCATATAGGTAGATCCGATTTAAATACTTAGTTTAATTTACCCAACGCTGCCCAGGCAATCCTATGCTATGTGGGAGCTCACATGTTTGGTTATCTCTGCTCAGCCGAATTTCATGTCCTAGGTACTTATAGGATGTAGTCTGCACAATATCGCTTCCATTAACAGCAATATTTCGATTTAGTACCGGATTAGTCATTATTTGTAGCTTGTTCATATTAATCCTTAGTCCGACCTCCATGGAAGCGTGATATAATTTTTCAAACATTATTATTGCATTATATATATGGTCGGCTAAAAGGACGATATTATCTGCAAATCACAAATGACTGAGCTTCTCTCCATTTATGTTGAGACCAGGCTTGTTCAGATCTGCCTTCTTACAAGTATGTTCTAAATACATCGCTGTATATAGAATTTATTTGTTTCTTGTTCAGATAGTCTAACGCTAGCTGTAGCATTTTGGTAGAAATATTTGATTATGTTAATGTAGCGATGGTCTATTCGGCATTCTCTCAATGTTTTTAACATTTTCTGATGGCATATGGTATCGAATGCTTTCTCGTAGTCGACAAATATCAGTGCTAATGGTTTGGTGTAGTCTTCAGACTCCTCTATTAGATTCCTTACTAGTAAGTGATCGTTAGTGCTGTATGACAATCTAAATCCAGCTTGTTCTCTAGGCTGATAATTTGATAATTTTTGTGAAAAGTTCATATGTATGAAAGCAAACTGATAACACGGTAGTTTTTTAAATCTGTTATTTCTCCTTGCTTGTGTAATAAAGTAATGACTGCATTATTTCATTAAGAAGTCGTTTTTCTTTGGTAGATGCATTCGGTGAACAACTTGGCCAAAGCCTGGAAAATTTTATTTCCACCTAGATTGATCGCTCTAACAACTACTCGTCATCGCCAGATGATTTGTTATTTTTCATTACTAAAATTTCGTACATTTCATACAGGGCGCTATTTTTTGGGGAAAGTCATTTCTTTTTTCTTGTTTTTAGGATCATCTTTGTTTTTTGAAATTTCACATTTATTAGTATCTTAGCTCGAAATAATCTTTGGTCGCGTACATTTGTTTTATCATAGCCATTTTCCACCCATTTCTACTTTTGCATCATCTTGTTTAAACCCCATGTTTGCATAAGCTCGCTTATAAGTATTGTGTAATATGCTGGTGTGACATGTAAATTTTTCAATTTCTTCATCCGAGTGGGTAGTCGTTGGAGCAGATGTCTGGATTACCTTAAAGTTATATCTTGTATTTAGATCTAAGATAAGATATAGAATTCTTGGGTTCATGCTGATAATTTCAACTATATTTTTTGTGTGCTTTCTATGTATAATTAATCCTACTCCACCATTTGAAGTGTCACCTCTAAAATTAAACACGTGTCCTGATTTAAGAGTAATTTGAGCTTCTCCTCTTCGTCTTATTTTACGAAGGCTGATGAAGTAATATTTTATATTTTCAGCTCTCCTGTTTTCTGTTCCATTATCTTCTGGTCTGATATCAGTTCTAACATTGTATGAAGTAATATGCATTTGTTGCTCTTTGTAGTAGCCTGATTTTTCCGGCGATTCTTAGTACACTCTGCTTAAAACCTGTTCCAACCGCTACCTTAATTGGTGGTGTTGGAGCTGCCGGAGATGAGTGCCGTTCAGTAGTTTCGTCTTGCACGGAAAAATAACTTTTGGGGTTTTAAGCTATCTAAAACGACACGCTTGCTAGTACGTATTGGCCACTTGACAAGGAAAGGGTGGAGATGGGAATACATTGCGATTGGACATAGTTTCCCTGGGGATGAAAAGCTGGGAAAATCCATGAGCTTACGTAGGCAGGTGTGCTATTTCTGAAGTAAATCTATCCCCTGTTGGAATCGCAGAGAAGTATCTACCCGCTACCCCTGTATATACATACATCATAATACTGACGTTATTCATCTGGGCGTGATGACGTACGTAATAGATGATTTTTTAAAATAAGAGTATAATTCATTTGTCGCTAAATTTTTGAATTAAATAAATTTACACAAAACGAGGTATATATTATGTAATTGATTTAACAGAAAATTTATTTGATTGGTGTTAAAAAACTGGAAAAATTTTTTTTGCAAATATAAATTGCTTTTCGCTTAAACAAAATGTTATTGGTCCGACGACGAAAATATTTTATATTGTGAATAATTCCTGGAGTTATATTTCAAATGTTGTGAATTGTCTTCTTTTTCGCCACAAGAAGGGAACTAGATGTTGGAACTAGCTAAGTAGGTGGACTTGAATTAAATAATCATTCGTCGAAAACAATTTCTACGTCAAACTGGCAATAATAATGTTTTGTTGTATTTATTGGCACTTTATGAATTGTATTTTATGAATTTTATTGTAAAGATTGTATTTTACAAAATTATTTAACTAACACTAACTATTTATTTTTCTGCTATGTGTACGAACGTAAGGTTTACGTAGTGCGCATAGTTGAGGATCGAGTACGAAGTCTTAGAGAGGAGTCTTGAAGTAACTATTGTCTGGTAGAAGCACCAGGAACGAAGTCTACTATCCAGTATAAGCACCGGGAACGAAGTCATAGAGTTGAGTCTGGTATGTAACTACTTATATATTGGCCGCGAACGAAGTGTCTAAATGCCGCTTTGATTCATTTTTTTATAGGCAAACACAACCGCCAATCTTTCAACGTTTAGAACGAACTTTTTAACGAACTTTACAAGTCCCAAACGATGGGTTCTAAAAACCACTTTTTTTAAGATTACGAAGAAACTGCATAATGATAAAAACAATAAAACTAAAGGTTTATGGCTCCTTTACGAGTTTTCATAACGAACAAATGTAGTTGACCCAGTTCTCATCATCATCATTTTCATTCTTTACAACCCTATTGGTTTATAGCTTGGTCTATGTTATCTAGGAATCTTGTTCTGGGTCTTCCTTTTCTTCTTTGACCAATAGGTCTATCAAGGAGCGTTTTTCTAGTTGGGTCGGTTTGATCCATCCGCATTACATGGCCTACCCACCTCAGACGTCCTATCTTAATGTGTTTTACGATATCTGGTTGCTGGTATATTCTATAGAGTTCGAAGTTGTATCTTCTTCTCCAGACACCATTTTCATTTACCGCTTCGTAGATTCGCCTCAGTATTTTTCTTTCGAAACATCCTCACATGTTTTTATTGCTTTTTGTTAAAGTCCAGGTTTCTGAACCATATGATAAGATTGGACGTATTATTGTTTTGTAGAGTTTTACTTTTGTATTTCTTGATATAGCTGTAGATTTAAAAAGAAGATTAAGCCCAAAATAGCATCTATTAGCCGTGCAAATTCTGCGGTTTATCTCTGCGGTAATGTCATTTTCAGTATTGACAAGCGTTCCCAGGTATACAAATTCGTTAACTGCTTAACTCGATGACGTCGTTTTCTATAACAAGTGGCCGTCGTATTTGTGGTTACACACCTATTTTTATGTATTTCGTTTTATTAAAGTTTATTATTAAACCCATTTTTGTAGCCGCTTCCTGTAGTGCTACATACGTCTCTCGTGCTGCGTTTTCCGTTCTCCTAACAATATTGATATTATCAGCATATGCTAGGATTTTCACAGATTTGTTATATATTAAACCGGTAGTTGTGATTTGTGACGTACGTATTACTTTTTCCAGAGCTAGACTGAATAGTATACAGGAGAGTGGGTCTCCCTGACGTAGCCCGTTATTTGCATTAAAAGGTTCAGAGGGTTCCCCCTGG